GAAAACTTCGTAAAGGGGTCAAAACTGACCAGTTGTATTTCCCTATATAATCTTTGTATTTTATGGGAAAAACAGAGGGTCATTTCAACGCAGACTTTAGGATACTTAAGCTCAGTATATCTGGCTAATTTTTTGCATGCTTCTAGGTCAATGGCTTGACCTGTAGGGAAAACTGTTGGTTACACTCAAAGCCCTCGACGAGGGCTAAAAAGTGACCGCGAGTGAAATTCTCTTTATATGAGCTCTATTACGAAAAAAAAATTCCTCTGACGACCCCCCTTGAAATTTTGTGAGGTAGTAGGAGAACACCTTGGGGTGTCACAAAAAACTCGGCATATCTGGGAAAACTTCGTAAAGGGGTCAAAACTGACCAGTCGTATTTCCCTATATAATCTTTGTATTTTATGGGAAAAACAGAGGGTCATTTCAAAACGGATTTTATGGCACTTACCCTCTTTACATCTGGCTCAGTTTTGGCATGCTTATAGGTAAATGGCTTGTCCTTTAGGGAAAACTGTCGGTTACACTCAAAGCCCTCGACGAGGGCTAAAATGTGACCGCGAGTGAAATTCTCTTTATAAGAGCTCTATTACGAAAAAAAAATTCCTCCGACGACCCCCCTTGAAATTTTGTGAGGTAGTAGGAGAACACCTTGGGGTGTCACAAAAAACTCGGCATATCTGGGAAAACTTCGTAAAGGGGTCAAAACTGACCAGTTGTATTTCCCTATATAATCTTTGTATTTTATGGGAAAAACAGAGGGTCATTTCAACGCAGACTTTAGGATACTTAAGCTCAGTATTTCCCTATATAATCTTTGTATTTTATGGGAAAAACAGAGGGTCATTTCAAAACGAATTTTATGGTACTTACCCTCTTTACATCTGGCTCAGTTTTGGCATGCTTATAGGTAAATGGCTTGACCTTTAGGGAAAACTGTCGGTTACACTCAAAGCCCTCGACGAGGGCTAAAAAGTGACCGCGAGTGAAATTCTCTTTATAAGAGCTCTATTACGAAAAAAAAATTCCTCTGACGACCCCCCTTGAAATTTTGTGAGGTAGTAGGAGAACACCTTGGGGTGTCACAAAAAACTCGGCATATCTGGGAAAACTTCGTAAAGGGGTCAAAACTGACCAGTTGTATTTCCCTATATAATCTTTGTATTTTATGGGAAAAACAGAGGGTCATTTCAACGCAGACTTTAGGATACTTAAGCTCAGTATATCTGGCTAATTTTTTGCATGCTTCTAGGTCAATGGCTTGACCTGTAGGGAAAACTGTTGGTTACACTCAAAGCCCTCGACGAGGGCTAAAAAGTGACCGCGAGTGAAATTCTCTTTATATGAGCTCTATTACGAAAAAAAAATTCCTCTGACGACCCCCCTTGAAATTTTGTGAGGTAGTAGGAGAACACCTTGGGGTGTCACAAAAAACTCGGCATATCTGGGAAAACTTCGTAAAGGGGTCAAAACTGACCAGTCGTATTTCCCTATATAATCTTTGTATTTTATGGGAAAAACAGAGGGTCATTTCAAAACGGATTTTATGGCACTTACCCTCTTTACATCTGGCTCAGTTTTGGCATGCTTATAGGTAAATGGCTTGTCCTTTAGGGAAAACTGTCGGTTACACTCAAAGCCCTCGACGAGGGCTAAAATGTGACCGCGAGTGAAATTCTCTTTATAAGAGCTCTATTACGAAAAAAAAATTCCTCCGACGACCCCCCTTGAAATTTTGTGAGGTAGTAGGAGAACACCTTGGGGTGTCACAAAAAACTCGGCATATCTGGGAAAACTTCGTAAAGGGGTCAAAACTGACCAGTTGTATTTCCCTATATAATCTTTGTATTTTATGGGAAAAACAGAGGGTCATTTCAACGCAGACTTTAGGATACTTAAGCTCAGTATATCTGGCTAATTTTTTGCATGCTCTTAGGTAAATGGCTTGACCTTTAGGGAAAACTGTCGGTTACACTCAAAGCCCTCGACGAGGGCTAAAAAGTGACCGCGAGTGAAATTCTCTTTATATGAGCTCTATTACGAAAAAAAAATTCCTCCGACGACCCCCCTTGAAATTTTGTGAGGTGGTAGGAGAACACCTTGGGGTGTCACAAAAAACTCGGCATATCTGGGAAAACTTCGTAAAGGGGTCAAAACTGACCAGTTGTATTTCCCTATATAATCTTTGTATTTTATGGGAAAAACAGAGGGTCATTTCAACGCAGACTTTAGGATACTTAAGCTCAGTATATCTGGCTAATTTTTTGCATGCTCCTAGGTAAATGGCTTGACCTTTAGGGAAAACTGTCGGTTACACTCAAAGCCCTCGACGAGGGCTAAAAAGTGACCGCGAGTGAAATTCTCTTTATATGAGCTCTATTACGAAAAAAAAATTCCTCCGACGACCCCCCTTGAAATTTTGTGAGGTGGTAGGAGAACACCTTGGGGTGTCACAAAAAACTCGGCATATCTGGGAAAACTTCGTAAAGGGGTCAAAACTGACCAGTTGTATTTCCCTATATAATCTTTGTATTTTATGGGAAAAACAGAGGGTCATTTCAACGCAGACTTAAGGGTACTTAAACTCAGTATATCTGACTATTTTTTTGCATACTCTTAGTTGAATGGCTTAACCTTTAGGGAAAACTGTCGGTTTGACTCAAAGCCCTCGACGAGGGCTAAAAAGTGACCGCGAGTGAAATTCTCTTTATATGAGCTCTATTACGAAAACAAAATTCCTCCGACGACCCCCCTTGAAATTTTGTGAGGTGGTAGGAGAACACCTTGGGGTGTCACAAAAAACTCGGCATATCTGGGAAAACTTCGTAAAGGGGTCAAAACTGACCAGTTGTATTTCCCTATATAATCTTTGTATTTTATGGGAAAAACAGAGGGTCATTTCAACGCAGACTTTAGGGTACTTAAGCTCAGTATATCTGACTAATTTTTTGCATGCTCCTAGGTCAATTGATTGACCCATAGGGAAAACTTTGTATTTTATGGGAAAAACAGGGTAATTTCAACACAATTTTTACGTTACTTAACCTCTGTACATCATGCTAATGTTTTGCAAACACTTCTATAGATGACTAGGCCGTATGGAAAAACTGTTGGACAGACTCAAAGCCCTCGACCAGTGCTAAAAGATGACCGCGAGTGAAATTCTTCTTATATGAGATATATATAAATAAATTGATCCCCTTAATATTATTTGAGGTCGTAGACCGACCCTGGAGGGTAACAAAAAAACTTTATTCCCGTCGGAAAAAGCCATTGTAGACGTTAAATATGTTTATATATCGTATTTTCTTATATAAGCATAGTAACTGTTTAAAAAAAAAAGTAAACACAGACATACGTCATTCGGTTAATTTTCAAGGGAGGTAACCTTTTTAAATAATTATTTTTCAAATAATTGTATACTTTTTTAAACAGAAACAGAAAACGACGAAGTATAGCATTTATTTTAGAATAAAATACGTTGCTTATTAAGCTACGTATCATAATTAAATAAAAAATTAATTTTAAAAGTCAATGTAATATAAATTGTGAGATATACTGTTCATGGAACCTCTGTAGTTCTATTTCCATTTTAGTTATAAATTGCGTACTTTCGAATGCTTTCTCTGAAAGCGGATATTACACACCATACAACAACATCTTCTCTAAAATTAGCATTGCTGTTTAGATTTAAGAACTCCACGCCTCATCCATCACCAAACAATTAGTATTCAAATTCTCAAATGTTTTTGAAAACCTAAGCGAAGCTAGGCAGAATGCCTAGTATATATATATATATATATATATATATATATATATATATATATATATATATATATATATATATATATATATTACATTTAAAATAAATAGCTTAAAATATGAAATAATATTTATTCATATAAAAGCATACACATGTTTCGCACAAAACATATTAAAGAAGTTTAGCAAGCTCTGCACCAAATAAGAAACTTTTCATTGTTATTAGATCTAAATCTTTAATTACCGAGTATTGCAGACTAATATGTTTATGTGTTTTAAAAATAAATTAAAATAATCTATCTATATATATAATTCTCTTCTTCGAGCCGTTAGAAAACAAGCTGCAAACGCTCTCCCTACCTCCCCACCCCTACATGGTTTTAGTGAGCTGTGTTCACTCTAAATGTTTACAAGCAGAGCCAACGATTTTAAACGTAGGGGGGGGGGGAGGGGGGAGGGAAGGAAGGGGGGGGTATGGTCCTTAACGAGCTACTTATAGTGTTTTAAAGAAATATTTTCAGTGTCAGCGTTGGTACTGTTGAATTCACAAATTATGAATTATTGAAAATTAGAAACAACTAAATAGCGGCGTATGTTATGCCGCGGGCCGGCTCGTATATATAATTCTCTTCTGGGATCAGTTAGAAAACAAGCTGCAAGCGCCTCCTTGCAGTCCCCTCTCTTTCTCTCTATCACTATCACTACCATCCCCCACCCCACCCCCACATTGTCTGGTGAGCTGTGGTCACGCTGTTTACATTTTACAATCATAGAGACGGGTTTGGTGACGGCTATTAGGGGCAGATAATTTAGTTTGAAACGATTTTAAACTTACAGGAGGTAACTAAGAGGAGGCTGCTTTCACGGGGGGGGGGGATGTAGGGTAGGGGTTGGGGGAAAGGGGGGGGGGTGTAGTGTTTTAAAGCAAATAATTTCATTGGCAGCATTGGTACTATCGAATTCACAAATTATGAATTACTGAAAAGTAGAAAATAAAACAACTAAATAGCGGCGTATGATACGCCGCGGGTCGGCTCGTACTTGTAATAAATATAATTAGCATAAACCTCAGTCTAATTTTCATTTTGCAATTTTAAATGAAATTTCATTTCATCAAAATAAAATAAAAGAACACGTGACGAGTCTAAGTTACGTTTTCCCTAATTAGACTGTTCGTTAATATTTAAATTAATTAGACAGTCTGGCCACATAATGTTTTAGAAAATCTCTTTTATTTAGATGACTCAATATTTTCATATCGCTTTCTTCAGCAGGAAACCAGAGAAAGTGTTGATCACGTGATGCTCCTCTCCATACAGACTACCACAGTTGGAAGCTTCAACAAAGACCTCATCACCAGCCTCCAACAGCAACACTGCCGAGTTGGCTGATAAGAAAACAGTTTTATGAAATCATTCTTTGAGTTCTAGAAATTAACAAAGGATGTACTTTCAAATTAGCTTATAAAAATAAATTTATATTCAGATTCTAGATAAACTTTTTACTTATTTTTAATCCTATGTCTGATTTAGCTAGTGAAATATAATGATTCGTAATTTATTAACTAAAGTCAACTTACCAGCGAGAGACAACTCTTGATTTGTGCTGCTGTATAGCGAAATAACTTTCGGTTTGTTCTTAACCAGAGACGGACTCAGTTCTTTCCCTTTGCCAGCATCGTCATGAATGTGGAAGAAGTATAGACCTGTCTGTATAAAACATTTGAATATATAAAATAAACATCTACACGTGGTAATGACTCGTATGGCTTTCATATCGATCACTCTTCTCGAAAAAGCCGACGTTGTTCAAGAAATGATTCCAATAACGAACTGTGACCCGCATAGCGAACTACCCTAACTGTTCCAGTGACGCGAGCATGACGAAAATTGAAATCCACGTCATCTTCGGAGTGTGAGTTTTTGTATTGTGCCTGTATATTTATGATTTGTTGATGCCTAATAGAATAAAGGTTTACATGGAAACCAACTGTAAATTATAGCATGCTATATTGTCATTGGGATTTTCCATAAATGACGTCACACTCCTAGGGGGAGGGGGGTCCGTAATTTTGTGACAGTGTGTGATGAGGGGGAGGGGGGGTTCAGATGGTGTGACGTTACACTTTTGCAATATAAAAAAGCAATGTATGCTTATACAAAATTATTATGGCTAGTTTGATTTTGAATCTGCCGAACAATCAGAGCATCAAACTCCTAGTTCGATAATTAGAAACGGTGTGTTCAAGAGCACGCGCTTGCGAACCATGAAGTCACGACCTCTAAACTGGGACTTTACACCGTAGATCTTCCTCTGAACGAACCAGGTAATGCTCTGCGCTCTGCATTAGGGTATTAAATGATTGGCAGAAATCCCGGGCAAAACCAGCTCTCGTGGGTACTTGAATCACAATTATTAATTCAAAAGTAGAAATAAAATAATGTTCAATGAGTAAATCATTGCTGATTATACCTACAAATGTATATATATATATATATATATATATATATATATATATATATATATATATATATATATATATATATATATATATATATATATATATATTAAAGTTTCCCTTTCAAACCTGACGGTCTATGGGGCAAGTGAAGTAGAGTTCACTTGTTTCTGTGACCTCGGCATATAAAGAGATAGTGTGGTCAGCACTATGCCCAGCCGCATATATATATATATATATATATATATATATATATATATATATATATATATATATATATATATATATATATATATATATATATATATATATATATTGGATATAGCTTATTTAATATGAATTTTATATTCATTCTTACTTTACAGAATTTCAAAATGAAAGTCTTGATATAGTATTGGCTTCATATTTGATACATCATTTTGATTTAAAAAAACGGATACCTTTCAACAGGCAATTGATCGGTTTTGATAACCCGACTGTAAAGGCACCGATGCCAGATTTGTCCGATTTGTCATCTGGCGTTTGATTCTTTTCTCTCTCTCTAGAGGCATCGCTAGTAGCGGTCGATGGTGTGGTGTTAAAAATTCGTCTGTGCATAGGGTTAGTTTTCTTGGTTCTAGCTGTGGAAAAAATAGGACGAATATAAAGATCTTTGTAAAAAATAATAATTCACAATTGCAATTTGCTATATAACTAGTGGAATAATTTAACATATGTTTTAATTAAAATCCTGTATAGTTAATCTGATTTACCTTTTTTATAAGAAATTTGGACATATGTTTCTGTAATATGGCTATCAGTCCATCAAAGTATTAGATGTTTCAGTTTTGAATTGTGATGTTTTCAAAGTTAATTCCGTTTGTTCAACGTTTGGCACGTGCTTCTCTGGTAATGGTTTCAAGGTCTGAGGTTGCCTCTTTCAAAAATTGACACGGTTTATAAATGTAAAGAAAAAGTACTTTAATAGAAGTAACAAATGTTAGCTTCACATTGTTTCTTCCTAATACGACACATCAGTATAAAGTTTTTATTCTAACAAGCGTTATCATTGTCTCTGCACACAATTCGATTTATTTAAAAAATCTACTAAGTGAGATTTATTTCCAGGAAGTAAAAGAATAAAATACACAGCTAAAATGTGTGTGTATCACATTTTGTCTGAAGCTTTGAGATCAGAATCGTCAGATATATGTGTAAAACTTAAAGATACGTACTTTTGTTGAGCAAAATATGTTGATTATACTGAAAGTATAAACGAAATTCTAGTTAAAGACGGAAATAAAAATAAAGATAAATTCAAATTTGTTGACCAAACGATAATAAAAATAAAGTAGATATTAAACTGAATTCTTTTAAGGGACCGAATCAACTTGGTCTGTTTGATAAGCTGTTTTAATTTTTTTTCTTTTTCCTCAGAACGCAGCAATCGCGCTACAGTTAAGCTTGTGCTTAGAATAAATAGTATGATTGTGATTCCTTTTGAAATTCGATGCAACTTTTCCTTTACTGAGAGAGGTGGTTCCATAGGGCAAGGTGTACTAGTGCTATTGAAGAAGCGAAACCTGAAATATAGGGGGAAGTGTTTAATTCGTAACCCTTAAGGACAAAGATTAATTCAAAATACAACTAAAAGCCTGTAACAGTTTCATTTTAATGTTAATGAATTTTTACTGTAAACTAGACAAAAAAAAAAAAATCATAGGTTTATTGATTTAATAAACCTAATAATAAGTTTAATAGGTGTAATTTAAAAAAAAAGAAGAGCACAGTAATTACTATTTACCAGATCTTGGGTCCAAATAGTACAACTTACCAATCAAATGATTTAGGAATTAGATTTCGTCATCCTGAGTAATTTCAACGTGTTATCACGATCTTCTATCGGTTAAGAGCGAAATGGTACGAATTGCACACCGGTACTGATTACCCACTTGCAGGTAACCCGTCAAAAGAGCGCACGACAAAAGAGCGCCGACATATGAGCGCAGACAAAAGAGCGCCAACATAAAATCGCCGACATAAGAGCGCCGACATAAGAGCGCAAACTAAAGATCGAAATACCAAATTTATTAAATAGGAACAAGAGAAAATTAACTCAGATCAGAAGGCATTGTTTGACGTTAACTCTTTATTGTTTCATTAAAAAAACTCATCGTTTAGTTTCTTTAACTAAAAAACTGGTATTGACGATTCTCTTCTTCTTCGTTCTTAATTATTAGTGTTGGAGGGGATCGAGATTTATCTGCCAGTGGGTTTGAACTCGAGACTTTGTTCGAATTTATCAACCATGAGCTTTTTGCCTACTCGACCACGCCTCCAACACAATTAAGCGTTACGTGTCAACTGGTTATGCGCCATTGAGGCCATTGACTCCGATTTCAGCCTGCTTTTCTTTTTGGATTTGCTTCCAAAGCCTTTGCCCAACCAAGAACAAACTACAAGGCAGCAGTTGTTTAATTTTGGAGTTGTCTCTCCTAGAAGAGTGGCTGTCCCCAACTAACGAGCCTCATCTGCCCGAGGGTTCGAACTCGAGACTTTTCATTTTAGCAGCCATGAGCTTTACCGACTCGACAACGCCGACCCCTTATTGACGATTGATATTATCCATTGCTACGAACATCATCATTCTGTAAACGTCAGTCGGTCCGGGATCCCACTAGACGAAATTTTGCCCTCTTGTTGTCGTTTGAAGAGGTTCAGGAATTATTATCCCTGCGATGTTCTGCGGATTTGGGTATAGTAGCTGCTTGCGGGTTTTTTTTTTGGCTTTCTATTGCACGTCTAATTTCTGTTCTTCAAAGGCCTATGACTTGAGTACTTTTTCTAATAGATAGATACAATGTCATGTATAAGTAAAATATATAATTCTCTGTTTTCTGTCAAATTTTGAGTAATTTTCGGTGACCTGAAGTAGTATTTTTCGTTATTTTCGATTTCTCAAAAAAAAAAAAAAAAAAAAAAAAAACGCATTTGAATTTGAAAAGTATTAGTGTTCCACACTCTTATACACACCTGTTTATTTGGTGCGCTATTCTTTCATTTACGATACTGTTTCCTATTTAAAATAAACCGGGAGTGATCTCCCCTAAACTTTCTCGAATATTCTTATATAACTTGAAATATAGACATGATTTTTAATTACTTAAACTTTTAAAAATAGAATAGAATCTCATAGAAAAAAGAATTGCGCACCAAGCGAACGCCAAAACAAAATGTGCATAATAGTGTGCGCAATATTATTAGTACTTTAAAAATTTACATGCGTTTTTTGAGAAATCGAAAATAGCGTAAATTAGTAGGCCTACTTCAAGTCAACGTAAATTACTCAAAATTCGACAGAAGGCAGAAAATTAGATCTTTTACTTACATGTGAAATTTCATTTGTCTATCTGAAAGAGTACTCAAGTTATAGGCTTTTGAAAAATTCAAAGTAGAAAAAGTACCACTTTCGGTTATCGGAAATCGCTCAAAAGTTGATCAGAATCTATGATTTTGATAAAATACTTATATATGAAATTTCATCAACCTAGCTGTAACGGTACTCAAGTTATCGTTTTTACACACAGACAGACACACAGACACACAGACATACGGACAAGATTGCAAAATTATGTTTTTCCGTATGAGTGAGGTGTAAAACGTCGAGATTTGTAAAAATCTCGATTTTTTTTTCACGATTACAAGACTTTCTCTATACGAGAAAGTAAAAATTAAGTATTTAAAAATCGATTCAAAAGTATGGCTAAGCCCTGAGTTGCCATTAACAAATCACATATTTTAATCTTGGCCTATCAAAAATGCTTGGTGATTAAGAAACTAAAAGGATTTATTCACCGGTAAGATATTAACAATATCTTTTACTAAAGTTGGAATGATATAAAATGATATAAAAATAAGTTCTTGATGCTTGGAATATCAACGAAGCTATCAGTGAGAAAAGTGCTTGAAATTCTCCAACGATAACAGATGATGTGCTATAATTACTACTACCACCATTACTACTACTACACCTACCACTACCAGTAGTAGTTAAATTGTTCAAAAATAAAACTTAATAATAACTGTACGGCAGTATACGGACTTAAGCAATGAATAAGTACTAATTCTTACCATTAGATAAGCAAATGTGTTTTTGATCCCCTTCTCCAAATCTTCTTCCATTAGAACACACACATTCAAAGTTTTTGGTGCTATCTGTTGTATCATTGGTTCGTGGTTTAGGCAGACACAGGTCTGTACAGCCGCCATTGTTTGTCCCACAGTGATTGGTTCCTGGAACACAGATAAAACATGAAACATTGTTGTATGACCATATTTGATTTGCTCGTGAGCCGGACGTTTGCCTGAAAGACACATTATCGAATGCACTTAGTCCGAAGGCCGATTTCCTGAATGAACACTTGCCCGAAATTTTTTCATTCTTAAATCTTGACATGGATTTTCTAAAAGTTTTAGTATTAAATGACGATTAGCTATGTTTTCCCAAAGCAAGCTAACCAGAAAATAGTAATAGTAATATATCCTTTGTTTTATTGGTTATGTCCCATAATTTAGAGAGGCAGCTCCGTTAATATTTTTAAAAAAGAAAACAATATTTTTAAAAAAGAAAACAAGGACAAATTAATTTTGAGGGATTGTTGGAGAAACTGAATAGTGAGTTTACTATACACGCAGCATTAATTTCTGTGAAGTTTAAGTTACCGGTGCCAAAAGTGAAGTCGTGTCGGAAAGGTCTAGACTGTCTTGCAACCCGACCTACCTATCGGCTGTCTGGAGATATGGTAGACCTGTATTCCCATAGGTTGGCTGAGGTTTGCAGCTATGGTGATTGCAGATTCTTTCCCAAATTTGTTTACTTTATGTACAGCGTTGGACGTCCAGTCAGTCCAGAAGAGGTTGTCTCCAAATAAAGTGATGCTGAACAGGCGTTTGAGTATTGGATGATTGTCAAGGATGATTTTACGATCTTCCCCCTCAAAATTGCAGCTGGAGACTGTCTGTAAATTACCATCAACCCAGTACAAACGTTGTTGAACGTAATCTGCAATTTCATTTAATTTATTGTCATTTTCGTTTGGTTAGTTGCTAATGCTGATATATTTTATAAGGTTTAAACTTTTATCAAAAAAGGTAAACTAAAGGTCTATTTTTTTAGTGGGAGACCATATATTTGGCTCTTTAAAATAAATAAATAAACTTAAACCCAGAATTAAATCTAAAAAAATATATTTTATGTAGCCTTAAGGTACACATATTTTAAAGTACACATCAAGAGTGAGTCCATTTGGCCATACAATATGTTGAGTTACAATAGCCTTTCTCTCTTGTCCATTCATACCAGATTTTTCAATCTTAGGTGTTTTGCCCCAGTCTGTCCAGTAGATCCAACTATTAGACAAAATTGGCAAGTTTTGTTAGTGAAATCAAAAGATATTATACAACACAATATAGTTTGTTTTCAAATAAAACAAAGGTCAACTGAACCTACTCATTTTCAGGGTCAACAGCCAAAGCCCTTGGTTGATCAAGATCATCACTGATGAGTGTCTTAAGATGGCTGCCATCCAGGCGAGATACTTCGATCTTGTTGTATCCAGTGTCAGAGTAATACAGATTACGATGCACCCAGTCAACAGCAATACCATCTGGAGTTACATCCCCTTCAATAAATGTTTTTACCTCATCTTTTCCAGTGTGGAGATTAATCCTGTAATACGTTTTACAGTTTGGGTTATAAACAACCGAAAAAAAAAGAGCCAGACAAATTATGTTTTAAAATGCTGTCAATATTGCATTAGCTAGAGACGTGGTATAGTTGTAAAACTTTGACAAAATATAGAATGTATTAAAGTCTAACTCACATAAAAATGTTATGAGATAGAACATCAGTCCAATGGATAGAGTTCTCTCTGTAGTCAAAGTCCAAACTAAGAGCTCCACCGAGAGATTTGTTCAGAAGTGTTTTGTATTCTAAAGTATCCAGGTCATAACTACGGAGGTCTTGACGAGTCAACACCATCAGCTCAGCGGGTTTGTCTGAAATTGTGGAAACAAAAAATAGTATTCTGGCATCTACGATTCAAATATCAATATATTTTAACAAGGATTTAAGTGATATTTAGATATTAACATTGTGCAACCGAATGAGCACAACATAGCCATGAGTGATTATTTATTTATCATGGGAATATTATTTTAATGAAATGCGCACAGCCCACACATAATATCAGGACAAAAGACTCATTGAAGAAGTTCTGGTTTTTCCGAAGTGTAGGAATAGATTTTTTTTTACTGGTACAAAGATATTTTTATGTGGACAAATAGTTAGCCATCGGAACTGAACTGACCAGAGCCCAATGTTTAGTCTGACAATTACCACCGCATTCCTTTTCGGCTTGGTTTAGCTTGCCGGAAACACGAGGCTCTTGCCAATATAGTGGGTCGCTAAGGCGAAGTGCCAACAATATATTAATTATCATTGAATTATCAGAACAAGTAGAAGCAGCTACGAACAGTAGCGTAGCGAGGGGGGGGGGGCGGGGGGGGGGGGGGACATACGTCCCCGGGCGCCGAGCTTAGGGGGCGCCAAAATGGGTTGGAAAAATAAATTGATAGGTTGAGGGGGGGTGCAAATTGAAAGTTTGAGGGGGGGTGGTGCAAATCAAAATCTCGAGGGGGGGTGCAAATCGAAAGTTTGAGGGGGGTGCAAATCAAAATCTCGAGGGGGGGGGGGGGGGCTGCAAATCGAAAAGTTTGTCCCCGGGCGCTGGGAAGGGTCGCTACGCCTCTGGCTACGAATACATCAAGACACTCAATGCGATAACCAGAGTATTTAGTGAAAGGTAAAGCAGTCCCAACAGGACGGTAAGAGAGACAAACGTCAACTTTTGACGAACAAGTAGCTGGATAGATCACTTACTGGATGTAATTATAAGAACAAACAGGTGGATAAGGGAACTACATGGGAAATAACCCAGTTGAAAATTCTAAACGTTTAAACAGTTTAAAGAGTTACAGGGTATTAGAGCCAGACAAAATCACATCGGAAATAAAATAGGGTAGGATAAAAAGTTTCAACTTTATAACTGTCTGCGGCAGAGGAAAAAAATCTCAACCAACTGGATTCGAGTTCTTGCGAAGTTGCCAAAATAGAAGTGACGCATTTCAAGATTATTAATATAATTTGCTTTTTTAATTAAAGTAAAATAGTTAATCATTCAATTGTTTAATATAGGATAATTGTAACAATTAATTTAGAAAATTAATTGTATAAATCTTTAATTTATTTCATTGCAAATTTATCCGTCCTCAGAATTTGAGTATAGATTATTTATTTTTACAATAAAATACAAAATGTGAAACCAAAGCATTAATTTGTTGTTATAAAAGTAAATATGTAATGATTTATTATAAATTGGTTTCGTTTTATGTTCGCATAATTCTCAAAGATAATTACCTTCAGTACAGAACACTTGTGAGACAAAACCAACCATGGATAATGTAAAAATCTTGTTGATGAACAACATAACGCCAGAGTAAGTATCCGAATAATTGACACACGTGTATATTATGGTAGATCACACGAACTTCGTTTTTTGTCAAAAGAAAATGATGCTGAAATGAAAATTAAAAAGTAAGCCTACAGGTTAGATTATTAAAGCTTAAACATAATCAACCATTCCGCCGATTATAAAAGAAGATTTAAGCAATTTTATAATGCCTGTAAAACACGGGTTCCCAACCTGGGGGTCGCGACCCCCCTGGGGTCGCGAAGGGCTTTCTGGGGGGTCGCCAACTGGTATACTAAACCTTAGTAATTTGAAACAAAACAAAAATATTTAGAAGAATTTTTGAAATTCGGCTTTATTAACATCACTGGAAATGTAATAGAGAAGAAACAAAGCGCACTGTACAAAGTTGTTCTCAGTTGAAATCTTCAAAACTAAAACGTCATTTGAGACGAGTCATTCCAAACATCTGCAAACGCCAGAGACTTGATCGATCAGGAAGTTTTCACCAGCTTTAGTGCAAGCATCAAATGAAGTCGCGATAGAAAATGCCAAGCAAAAAAATAAAAACAATAGGAGAAAATCTCATCAAACGCTGCATGTACGTAAATGTTAAATATTTTATTAATATATTAAATTAAGCTTTCACCATTGTTTGTTTTTCAAGTTGATAAATCAACAGACGTGAGTTCGTGTTCGCAGTTGCTGGTCTTTGTCTATATTCATTCAGATGATAGCAAAGAAGAGTTGCTCTTTTGTGAAGATAGCATGGAGAAAATAAATACCTTTTTTGAAACTGGATGATTAAAATGGGTTAGAACGGCTGTTGGGGTTTGTACGGATGGTGCGCCATCTATGTTTAGCTCAAAATCGGGCTTTCAGAAAACAGAAAAGATTTAGCTCCCTAACCACTGCCCTAACCAATCGACATCAAGAGTCCATTGCTAGTATAAGTCGTAAATTATATAAAATCTGGAGCCTTCATAGAACTGAGCAAAAACATTGATATAGATCACGAGGTTCTGCTCTTCTACACTACAGTACGCTGGCTGTCAAACGAAATGTTGTAAATTGTGTTTTTGAATTGAAATCTGAAATCGAATTGTTCTTGGAAGTGCAAAGGAAACAAGACTTTTTGTTATATTTAAAACGACATAGAGTGGTTGGAGAGAGTATCTTACCTAGCAGATGTGTTCGTACATCAAGTTAAGCTTAACATGAAGCTTCAGGGAATATGAACGAATATTATAACTTTCCATGATAATCTCGGGGCATTTTTATCAAAGCTGCAAAATCCGTAAAGAAAATAAATCTTGGAAATATTGTAAATTTGAGAAACTCTGCGGTGTGGTAGATGAATTTGATTGTGAGATAATTAACATTTTGAAAGAAGCGATTTCTGGGCTTCTTGAATCTCTTGGAAACGAACTGCAGTGCTATTTCTCTGAGCTGAAAAAAAAAAGAAATCTGCATTTACGCATTACCCATTTGTTTCTTTCCTTGATGTTGCCAGCATTCCCGATGAATTACAAGATGAATTCTTTGATTTGCAGAATGATTCCGAGTAAGATGAAAAACTGCAGACACAATTTTAGTGTAGTATTCACCATTAATACCCAAACGTAAAATTTATTGACTTTTCGAGAATATATTTTCAACACTATTCTTCGATTAAAAACAAAATGAAGATAATTATAATGACATAGGTTGGCGTTAACAAAATTTTATAAAATTAAAACTTTAACCAAGAAGGTTTAGTGAATAGTATGCAATTTTACTCATGCTATTAAAACAGTTATCAAGAGAATTGCTTATTGAAAGTCTACAAAAAAAACTTATTTTAGTGCTTATTAATTTCCACTTTTTTTATTTCTATGGGGGTCGCGGGTCACTTACTTTTTATAAAAGGGGGTCGCCACACGAAAAAGGTTGGGAACCACTGCTGTAAAACATAGGCAAAGATTAATTTTAATTAAACTAATTATATTTTTTTAAAATTAAGCAAAATTAAATCATTTAAATAAATTATTTATAATCATTGAAGGATTCACTCATTTAATCTCTCCGCTGTAAAAATATAAAAGAATTTTAAAAAAGAATTATTTCAATATGTCATTAGAAAAGATATGTAATCCCTATTATTATTTTTGGATTATATAATAAATTGAATATAAAATTACAATGTTGTATTACCTCTTCTATAACACAACCAGGAATAATTGTGTGCTATACACTTGTATTTTAAAATAATATACAGCAGAATGTATGATATATTTCCGGATTACCAGGATGTGTGTTGAGTGATGTCACGAACCAATCGAGGCTATAGTGAGTGCAATGCCGTCCTCGTGCTTAATGACTGTGTGCATCAAATTTAAATTGCGATATTTTAAAGCATTTGCTTTAAAGTCAATGCCGACAAATAACATTAACATACTTTTAAATCTGTGTTAATGATATTACGCACTCCATACAGTCAATTCCCCTCCACCCCCCTTCCCCCTTTGACATCCTCCCGGTGTAAACGCAAAAGGTCATTGCCCCTTTATCAATTACCCCCAGGGTAATTACACCCGCACGCAGGAAAAAACACTGACCCTAACACTAGCCCCAACTACAACTACCTATGAAACAAAACTGTATTGTTCTTAGTATTGAAAAAGCATGTGTGAGGAGTACGTTGAAAGATTATTCATACAGTTACAGTCTATGAAAAAGACACACAAACTTTCCTACAAAAAGATAGCTATGTTAGCGTCGATGTGGGGTGTCGAATACAGAAAAGGGTCTTGGTTGATACAGAACCTAATATTAAGAGTCTCAAGGGGTAATAATATTCAACAGAGCAAATTCACATTGTCACTCTGTTTTGTATACGCCACTTAAGTCAACATTCGTGGCTTCCCACCACTTGTACGTAATTTTTGTTCTATTCAGTTTGTATTTCACTTCCCGCTTCGGATCAGATATCTCACTCACACAGTGCAGTAGTTCGACGTTTCTAGTATTCGATTCCTATACCAAATGCCACATTATATATATATATATATATATATATCTATCTATATATATATATATATATATATATATATATATATATATATATATATATATATATATATATATATATATATATATATATATATATATATATATATATATATAATGGTGTCACCCCCCACCGAAAGAATTTTATATAATATATATATATGTATATATATATATATATATATATATATATATATATATATATATATATATATATATATATATATATATATATATATATATATATATATATATATATATATATATATATATATATATATATATATATATACAGTGGCGTAGCGAGGTCGGGTGTCATTGTGACCCTTCCCGGGGACAAACTTTCAAGTTTTCGATTTGCATCCCCCCCCCTCAAACTTTCGACTTGCACCCCCCCCCCCCCCCTCAAGTTTATCTCTATATATTTTGCTATTTTTTGCCTTGGTGTCACCCCCCCTAAATGGTGTCACCCGGTGCGGTCCGCACCCCCCGCCCCCCCCCCTCGCTACGCCCTGTATATATATATATATATATATATATATATATATATATATATATATATATATATATATATGGTGGTGAAACCATTAGTTGCCGAAATGGGTGACAACCTACCTAGCGACGCCCAGGATTTAATATTAATGTAAAAACATTTAAACGTTTTTTTTATCAATGCAAAATTACATGTTACGTCCTACTAAACTAATTTCATTTATTTAAGAAAAAGGTTATGCAGGGTAAAAAAATATCTTCAAAAAATATTTTCATCGAGACAACAGCCAACTAAGCCCGCCCATTTTGCCCGCCTAGGATTTTAATGGGAAGAAATTTAGCAGACGACACATTTCTGCTGAACGGTCAATCGTGTAACAACACTCCTAAAAAGCAAACCCACTTTAAATTTATCACTCATAGCATCGTAGCTGTTTAGAAACAAATCCTTTTATTCACAAATCATTTTCCAGGCTACCGATTTATTTTGATAATTAAATTTGGTATCAAAATAGTGGTAATAAAATGTAGTTTTTGATTCTTTAAGTCATCTTGAACTGTAATGAAGTTTAAAATCTTAGTAGCCACATTAATTTTTAGGATTATTAAATGTTTCAATGAGTTTTTCTGGGATTTGTTTTTTCACTTTCAAGAACAGGTTCAGAATTCGCTGTCGAGGGTGTGGTAAACAAGATCCGATAAGATTAAAAAACGGATGAGTATGAGGGAGGGTGATATTGTTTATGCATGTAAATAATTTGTAAAAATTGCTCGTTTTTTATAACTAGTGAAATAATTTACAAAATTTTTGTTAAATTTTTGCATAGATTTAATATGTTTGTGCTAGTATAGGTGTACTTAAGGGGTGAATGACTGCATACATGTTTTTAATGATCAACGATGAAGGTATACGAAAAGTCATAATAGATTTCCCGCCTATTCGTATTGACAAACTACGGTGCATTTAATTGTACAGACCTAGCAAACCACCCTCTTCCCCAAGTGTTTCTTCCATATTTTTTTCTCCGGGGGGGGGGGGGGGGGGTACATGATATTTGGGGGGGGGGCGGTAGAATTTCTTCTGCATGTTTTTGGAGCGTGCTTATGAGCATGTGTGCGTGGGTGTTGTGCATGTGTAGACAAGAGTGAGTTCTTATTGTTTAGGAAAGTCTAAAACTAAACAATTATTTCAAACTTTAAAAATGTCAGATCCTCCATGATTACTAGCAAGTAGGATGTTAAAGAAAAAGCAAAGCGCAGCCAATATCTTCACTCATCAGACCCGTTTCTCAATGTTGTTTCCTGTGATAAGGATTTGACCTAGCTTACAGTTATCACACTTTTTCACTCTCGAGAAAAATCAAATTTAGTGTTTGCCGATTCTTTTGTTATTCCATTGTGGCATGTTTTTAAAAACCTAAATATTGAGCTTGGTTTATGCTTTCATATCTTTATATAAGACAGATATGCACTAGTACTACACGTAGAGCCCATCTGGTATTCAGGCGGTTACGTCGCACGTCGTCATGGTGCGATTTGGCGCCCCGGGCTAGACTGTGGACACTTTGAGTTTATATATGCGTTTGTATTTTATTTGTGTTTGAGTTTGGGTTTGCGTTGGGGTTGTGTTTGCGTTTGGATTTGGGTTTAAGTTTGCTTTCGTTTGCTTTTTTTCTTTGCGTTTGTGTTTTCGTTTGTGTTTGTATTTGTGTTTGTGTTACGTTTTCGTTGATTTTTTTGTGTGTGTTTTGGTTTCATTTGGTTGTGGTTGGGTTTTTGTTTGCGATTGGATTAGTTTTCGTTTGCTTTTTTCTTTGCATTAGTGTTTGTGTTTTCTTTGTGTTTGTGGTTGGGTTTGTCTTTGCGTTTTTTTTGTGTTTTCTTTTGTGTTTGTTTTGTGTTAGTGTTATGTTTGCGTTTTTTGTGTGTTTTGGTTGGTTGTGGTTAGGGTGGGCAATGCCGGGTTTATGCTAATTACCAAACACACAAGTTATGGTCTTTTACAGATACGTTTTTCAGATATGCCAGTGTGGGGCCTGGCCGGGACGGCTAGTTCTAATATAACACTACGGGGGAAGGCAACTCAGGACATAGACAATATTTGTAATCCATTTTTAATTACTTAAACTTTTTATAATAAAATAAAATCTCGTTTAAAAAAGCAATGCACACTAAGTGAACACCAAATGAAATGTGCATAATAGTGCGGGATATTATTAGTACTTTATAAATTAACATGCGTTTTTTTGAGAAATCAGAAATAGCTTAAATTACTACTTCCGACATACGGAAATTACTCAACATTTGACAGAAGGTAGAGAATTAGATCTTTTATTTACTTGTGAAATTTCATTATCTATCTGAAATAGTACTGAAGTTATAGGCTTTTGAAAAATTCAAAGTAGAAAAAGCTCCACTTCCGGTTTCCGGAAATCGCTCAAAAGTAGATACGGATCTACGATTTTGATATAATACTTATATATGAAATTTTATCAACCAAGCTGTAACGGTACCCAAGTTATCGTGTTTAAACACACAGACACAGACACACAGACATACGGTCAAGATTGCAAACTATGTTTTTCCGACTCAGTGAGGTGTAAAACTTCGAGATTAGTAAAATTCTCGATTTTTTTTGCACGATTACAATACTTTCTCTATACTTCGTATATACGAGAAAGTAAAAATATATTTACTATAATAATTACAAAATTTGTTAATTTTGTCAATAAGTAAAAATGAAAACGCCGTATTCTGGGTTTT